TACAATTTGAACACAAATTGTGAACATTTGCTGCATTTTTATCGAAGTGTTTGGTCGCGAAGTGCTAACTATTGGCAGACATTTTGGAAAACATAAAAATGATAATTAAGTTATCATTTTTAGCGATAACTGTATTCAAAGACTAAGACAACACTCAAATTGCATACTTTGAATGCATGACTACATTGAATATTAGAGACAAACAGCCGTTCAAACGATTATAAGCGGAAGAATGTTAACTATTTTACGAAACAAAACTCCCATTGAATTGTTGCTAATTATGATTAAGAAAACTGATCGAGACATGAGTCCAAACCTAATATAGACTTTAAAACCGTTATAAATAGATTATATTTGTTTACGTTTTCGATTCTGTTATCATTTTCTATCATTTAATTTAATGACAAGACTTTTCTTGAAATGTTAAGTAAATATTTATGTGTTTTATAAATTAATAGTTTTAAATGCATTCATAATTTATCAAAAAGATTGTACTTTTAGGCAGTTTTTTATGCGTCTGAATGACTGACAAACAAACAGATTGTAATTAATTCTCGATTTATAAGATTTATGAAAAAGTTATTTTTATAAATTATGGCATTAGGTTATCGTCTGAGAGTTTAAAGGGTTGTTTAAAACATTTATCATCTAAACGCACATTTTGTTTGTTTTAGACAATCAAATAATAAACAAATAGTAATTTTATATTCCTTTTTCAAAAACGAGTTAAAAGTTTTGCTGAAATTAAATAAAACATTGGGAATAATGAAACAAAATCCTTGATTTAAATCTATATATTGCGGACTGACTTTTAATTTAGACAAACATATATTAGATTTGTATATTTGCTTAACATAATAGTCTATTAAAAACATAAACATAAAAAACTTGCAATTGTTTGGTTTATTTGACACTTTATTTTTTCACAATTCATTATAACATTAGTCCTGATATATTAGCATCGGTTGAGTAAACAATAATCAAATAATAATTATTAAAAGTAAGTTTACGTGTAATTAGAAGTGATGTGAGGTTTGGTTTGGATTTTTTGTGAATACATTTTCATTGATAGACTTCCAGGAAAACTTTCTGAAGACTTTTCTCATCTGATTATTGTTTAGTTGGTTTTTATGCATCAAAAACTTCACTTACCTTGAAGTCTATATTCAATTCATTATTTTCTATTATTTTTAATTTAAGTAAAAATATTTATTCATTTATTGTGTTAAATATTAATCGACAAAAATAAAGTTTTATGTTTTTCATTAACAAAAATGTTTGCGAACGCATTAATGAATTGATTTTAGATTTTAATTTCTTATTATTTCGTATGTTTATTCAAAAATGAATTCAAAACGGAATATAATTTTTAGATTATTGTTAATTGAGTTATTATTTTTATTATTTGTTAATTTATCAAAATGTCAAAATATTACATCAATAAGAAATGAAAATCGTCTCTATTTTCCAGTAAGTTTTCAATCCCTTTATTAATTTTATTATCATTTATTTCAAATATACACTATTTATTGATTAAATCAAATAAAGCCATATTTCGCATATCTTTCATATTTATATTTTAATATAATAAAGAAATGTATTTAAATATTTATACAAATCATAGGAGATGTGGTTTTAATGGACTAATCGATTAAAATGTTTCGCTTTAATATCCAATATTCTAGTGATCTTTACATTTATTATTCATATCGTTATATCTTTTATAAGTTATTCAGTATTTATGTTTGATTTAATTCGTAGAGAATATTTATTTAATTTTACTTTTATACTAATCTAATAATTTTTCCCTATATTTGTATTTATAAATATGAAATGTACTTAATTTCCAGAATCCATATAATTATGGAAAAGCACGGAGTGTTGGCTGCGATACAACGGTCACCAGAATAGAGGGCACAATACTTTCACCCAATTATCCGCTCAATTATGATAATTACATTCAATGCGTCTATAAAATTGTAAAATCCAGTGACGATGTGTGCAGTGTATGACTATTTACTTAAAACCATTGTTAAACTTAATTATTTAATTGTAAACAATAATTATCTCCAATAATTTAAGCTAGGTCATTGTAATGATTATGAGAGATAACACTTGACTTAAATTCATACATTAATTAATTTAAACATAGAAAACAGAAACAACAGCCAAATTAGAAATTAGATTACAATATAAATAAAATATGTATACGATATACAGTATATGAAGAGCTAATAAGAAATAGATGTGATGTTTGAGCTCTGATTTATACCCAACAGATTGAAGTGATATTAAGTGACTTTGATGTGGAGGACACACCTGAATGCACGGCTGATTACTTAGATTTAGGCGATGGAAGTGGACGTATGTGTGGAATATTGAATGCAAACACTAGAAGTTAGTGAAAAGTTAATTTAATTTCCTGAAAAAATGAGTTTCCAAACTCCTCTTCAATAGATTTGCAAATATTTTTCTTCCAGAAATCATTTGGTTTCCAGCAAATGGCGAAAATGCAAACACTAGAAGTTAGTGAAAAGTTAATTTAATTTCCTGAAAAAATGAGTTTCCAAACTCCTCTTCAATAGATTTGCAAATATTTTTCTTCCAGAAATCATTTGGTTTCCAGCAAATGGCGAAAACATTAAGTTTGTATTCAAATCCAATCACATGAACAATAAGAAGGGATTTGTGGCTAAAATTAAACAATTGAGGAATAGTTGTCCGCCTTATGTTATCAACAGAATACCAAATATAATGCACACTTCGGAGAGTAAACCGGAAGTGTTTCACAAACAACCCGTTTATTTGGGCTCTTATTGTGACATTTATATCGGAGAAGTGATCGGAGATCTGAGGTCTCCCGGATATCCCTACGGGTATCACAATAACCAGAGCTGTCATTATTCTATAAGAAGGTATTCATTTGCAAATTATTTGACTTTAAATAATGGCAATTGTAATCAATTAGAGCGGCCACTGATATATGCAAAGTTGAGTTAATCTTTCATCAGTTTGACATCTCGTCAAACGACCGGCGAGTTTGCGATTCAGACTTCGTTGAACTTCCCGACAGAAGCAGAAATGCAAACACTAGAAGTTAGTGAAAAGTTAATTTAATTTCCTGAAAAAATGAGTTTCCAAACTCCTCTTCAATAGATTTGCAAATATTTTTCTTCCAGAAATCATTTGGTTTCCAGCAAATGGCGATAACATTAAGTTTGTATTCAAATCCAATCACCTGAACAATAAGAAGGGATTTGTGGCTAAAATTAAACAATTGAGGAATAGTTGTCCGCCTTATGTTATAAACAGAATACCAAATATAATGCACACTTCGGAGAGTAAACCGGAAGTGTTTCACAAACAACCCGTTTATTTGGGCTCTTATTGTGACATTTATATCGGAGAAGTGATCGGAGATCTCAGATCTCCCGGATATCCCTACGGCTATCACAATAACCAGAGCTGTCATTATTCTATAAGAAGGTATTCATTTGCAAATTATTTGACTCTAAATAATGGTTTAACATTAGTTAATCTCGCCGGTGACTATATACGTTTCAACTCAATTAGAAAGTAGTCAAACTGTAGAGCAGTTTGCTGGCCGCTCAAACGCTAAGTCTGAAGCAACTTGAAGGGCTGTCTTCGTCACTTTGCGGTCGTTTACCGATTCAGCAAAGAGTTTATCCATTTTCTCGTTCATCCGATTATTTGATTTTGAAATTCAATTCCGATAACATTATTGACGAACGCGTGACAGGATTTTGGATAGAAGTGAGACAATTGAGGAATTCTTGCGATCAAAAGACTCCTCAAAACGGTATTTCACACTTCAGTTAAACAATTTTTACTTTTAATTAAGATTAGGTTTTAATACTTTAAAAAATTAAAATGACATCAAATGTTTATCAGCCATAAAATGTGACCAAACAATGAGTGGCCAAATGACAACAATCCATTCAACAAATTATCCCCAATTTTACGGTCCGTCACAACAATGTGTTTATTTAGTCGAACCGTTGGACAAGAATACGTGTGAATATGAGATCCAATTTCTAAACTTCAATATCGAATCGTCGAGAGATTATTCGGGAAATTGTAATAAAGACTTTCTTCAATATCCCGACGGATCCAGAATTTGTGGATTCTCTTCGGCACGAAGTATTGAATATCACATTTGTATAACACTTTTCATAACTAGAAATTATATTGTTTTTTGCATCGTTAGGAACCTTTCAATTTCCCAAATTTCGGGACAGAATCGGAATGTTTTACTTCAGTAGTGATGATAATCACGAAGAAAGAGGTTATGAAATACGAATCACACAAATACCAAAATCGTGTTTTAATAACCATAACTATGGCTTTGCTGTCAAACCATCGTTCATAACGTCAACTCCGACACCATATCTGACAACTTCTTACACGACAGTCAATAACACATATTATACTTGCGATGAAATTATTAGTTCAGAGATTCACGTCATTACGAGTCCTAATTATCCGCAAAACTACCCGACGATCACTCGCTGTGTCTATACTTTTCTAAAATCAATGTCAAACGTATGCCAAATGAGAATTAAAATATTAGACATGGACTTAGAGCACACCAGACATTGTGTCAGTGATTATCTTGTCATTGAATCCACTGGAGAACGATTTTGTGGTCAATTTCTACAACAAGAAGATAAAAGTAAAATTTAAAGCTTAACCTTATTTATCAAATTAATTGATTCCTGTCCGCATTCATACGGTTGTGGTTTCGACACAACATTCCGATGACATCTCGTTGGAAGAGTTGAGGAATCAAGTGATGGAACAAGTGATCAAAGACGTGATTCCAAGCAATTACATGGACTCGAGAACTATTATACACATCAATCCGTGCGGGAAATTCGTTTTGGGCGGACCCGTGTCTGACGCCGGACTCACCGGCAGAAAGATTATTGTCGACACGTATGGCGGTTGGGGCGGACACGGAGGCGGCGCCTTCTCTGGCAAAGACCCCACCAAAGTGGACAGGTCTGCGGCTTATGCCGCCCGACACGTCGCCAAATCACTCGTCACTTCCGGTCTGTGCAAGAGATGTCTGGTTCAGGTGAGCACTGAGTGTCACTTTAAACAATACAATAGCAAACGTATTATTGTTAGGTTTCGTATGCCATCGGAATCGCGAAACCAATCTCTATAACCGTTTTCTCGTTCGGGACATCGACTAAGAGTCAGAAAGAATTGGTCCAAATAGTGAACGACAACTTTGATCTGAGGCCAGGCGTTATAATCCGTGAATTGAATCTCAAGAATCCCATCTATGAGAAGACCAGTGTTTACGGACACTTCGGACGGCAATCGTTTTCTTGGGAAAAGGCGAAGAATCTCCGCTTTTGACAGCATTTAATGCACCGGTGCTTACATTTGACATGTTTTCAGTATTAATTCTTTAATTCAATTACTTATGTTTTTAACTATGATTTAGTATTATGTTTGATGTCATAAATCACTTAAATTTTTTTGCATTTCTATAACAACTTTAAACTGATTGATTTGTTTAGTAATCAATGATTTCTCATTTATTATGTTTTTATTAGTTTTGATTTATAATAAAAGTATAAAAGTATTAACTTAAGTATTTTTGTATTTGTGTTTATAATAAGGGAATGATTTGCAGTTGCGATGCAAATGTACAAAATTGGCAATAAGTTACTGTCCTGACAATTTGGAAAACTGTTAATTTATTTTTACTTTTTAAAATATATTATAAATGAATGTATAAATTAATTCAACACTGAATCTGTTTGACCATGATCACAAATCCAGCGTCACTTCCATTGGCATCGGTGTGAAATTTAATGGCAATTTCGTCACTTTTGAATTCATATGTGCCTAAAAGTGAACGCAAATTATTTTAAAAAGAGTTAATTGAAAATGGCGTGAATAACAGACGTGTGGCCGCAAACGGCAATTTGCCGCAGAGTCTCATTTCTCCGATTTGCAAGTAATCCTTATAACAGGCCTTCGATTCCTCCAAAGCGAACGCATCGAACTTCACTTCGAGGGCACAGATATCGGAAGTGGACTTCCGGACGGTGTACTCGCAGTCCAGGAATGGCTGATAACTGCCGCTATCGTAGTGTGGGCTCAGAATTTGTAACGATTTCTATGAGAATAATAAACAAATGCTTAGTTTCCATAATATTGTCAATAAGTTTGTGGACTAACTTCACTGAAATGCATTTTACTGCACGATTCAGTGGATCCGGGACTGAATTCGTGTGGAATAGAGTTATGGTGATCGCAATTGTTGTCCAATTGTCGCGCCTGTATCTTAAAACCGCCGTAACGGACAGCGGATTCCGTATGAAATCTTATGTTAATTTCCTGTTTTTCAGTCCCGAAGTCGACAACAATTCGCTCGCCTTTCCTTCGAGGCGTTATAAATTACGGAAGTTAGAGATGCTTTGGTAACCTTGTCATGAACACCAGGTACAGAAGCTGCGGCTGAAGTTTTAGAAGCTTTACCTAGAGTTCTGCTGTCTGCACTGCTGAGCTCGCTTACACTTTATAAACACAATTAGTGTATGCGTTATAAGGGAGCGGATAGTTGTCGCTGACAAATGTGGAGACAATTGTCGACGAAGACGAACAGATTTGTGGCAAAGGTTTGATTGCATTGTTTGCTGGATATGTGCCCACGTTTTTTGTTATGACAGGATTGATAGGTTTGCCTACAATTACCGGATCGAGTGGTATTTGCTCTACAATTGGTTTGCCGATTGTGTCTCCAATTCTGTGATCAATGACGGGATGAGTACAAGAGTCCGGAATTTGTTCGGCTCGGAGTCTAAAACCCGTACGAGTTGTTTGTCGATCGGAATTGAATATTAATCGCAATTCTCGCGAAAAACTCGGAAAATTTATTACTATAACAAAGAATTCACAATTAATTTGATAAATAAGGTTAAGCTTTAAATTTTACTTTTATCTTCTTGTTGTAGAAATTGACCACAAAATCGTTCTCCAGTGGATTCAATGACAAGATAATCACTGACACAATGTCTGGTGTGTTCTAAGTCCATGTCTAATATTTTAATTCTCATTTGGCATACGTTTGCCATTGATTTTAGAAAAGTATAGACACAGCGAGTGATCGCCGGATAGTTTTGCGGATAATTAGGACTCGTAATGACGTGAATCTCTGAACTAATAATTTCATCGCAAGTATAATATGTATTATTGACTGTCGTGTAAGAAGTTGTCAGATATGGTGTCGGAGTTGACGTTATGAACGATGGTTTGACAGCAAAGCCATAGTTATGATTATTGAAACACGATTTCGGTATTTGTGTGATTCGTATTTCATAACCTCTTTCTTCGTGATTATCATCACTACTGAAGTAAAACATTCCGATTCTGTCCCGAAATTTGGGAAATTGAAAGGTTCCTAACGATGCAAAAAACAATA